AAAAGAAGAAGAAAAAAGGTCTCGTCCTAATTGCTTTTATTCAAGTAATAGATTTTTTTGAATTAATCAATGATATCCGATCTATTGACTTACTAATTTAAATTAAATATATTACAGAGGCGAGAGCGACCCTCTCAACCCAGTTTGCTCCATTATCAAATGTCAGGATTCAAACCTCTGACTTTGCTTAAGGAACCTAGTACCTCATCCTACTAGATCAATTGGTCATTGGTAATAGAAAATTAGTTTACACTAATTAAGAAAATATTTAAAATTATAGGATAAAATATACAACAAGTCACTCAATTATCGATAAGACTAGAAATGGGTTAATGAGTTACAAACAAGTTAATTAATCGATTATTAGATTGATTATTAATCGATCACTGATAATTTGTACCCTGTTTACCAAAGTTCTCTTGAAACTATTGATCACTTGTTCTTTTCACGTTGGTTTAGGATTTAAGATTTAAGGTTTAAGATTTAAAGTTTAAGATTTAAAGAGTTTGGATGAGCTTCTGCGATTGCATGGGGATTTTTACTGTAATGCATAGGGAATTTGTCGCTTTCTGGGAAACTTGGGGGGCTCTTGGTGCGCCATCGACCAGCCAGGTATGATCGCATACCCCTTTTAAAGTTACTTGGACATTGTAACTATCTAGGAATGATTTAATTTTTAAGGATAAGATAATTGATTCGCTGTAATTGATTTTATTGATTAAATTTCGACCCGTCTCATGGCTCAAAGTCGAATTTGACTAATGTAGATTATCAATAGATATTATTGTAATTGACTCCATATTAATATATTCTATGGGTACTCTTTTTTCTCTAATTACGATTAGAGGGTATTTTTAACGCGGTCCAATTATTTTAAAAAAGTTCATAATATTTATGTATAATAAAATTTAAATGTGAATGACCAAGAATCCACGTCAGATTTATAAATGCTGGACTAAAATATAAATTTTAAATTTATCCACGCATTTGAATAAAAAATAATAATATATAATCTTAAGATGTATTGTTTAATAAAAGCAACGATTATGACTAGTTGACCAACTTTAGAATCCTCTTTTATGAACTTTAGAAAATATTTATTTAGATTACAAGCAATACATTTATATGAATATAATTTACAAGTAAAATTATAAATACAAAAGATTACGTTTGGTACAACTTAATGAGTAAATTAGTTTATCGGTCATCAAATTATTATCACGTTTATATTTTGGTCATCGTTTTCTATATAAGATCGTTATATATATTACATTTTTTTTGGCTTTTGATTATCGAGGGTTAAAATTTCAATAAAAATGATGTTGTGGTGTGGTATAATAACAATTTTAATCCTTAAAATTTATATATTCTACCAAAAAAATGATAACAAGAAAGAAATGATGGATTCTATCCTATTAAATTTTAGTACTCATCCTAAGTATGACTTGGATCCGTCACTGAACACTTTATTGTCTTCATACACCATTGTAACGGAGATTTTCATGTTGATGATTTTGTGGAGTTTTGATCATTTTCTGATGAAATGAATGTTGAATTCGTGTTCAAGCCATAAAAAACTTATCTAAAAAGTTGAGATTTAACGATCGTGGATGATGGTGACCGATCAGAATATGGATATAGAGAATAAAGAGACATATGAGAAGAGCTAAATCGTTGTGATTTTTAAATATTTAATATTAATTTTATTAAATTATCTTAAGTTAAGATTAAATTGATAGAATATACAATTTTAAAGACTAAAATCATCATCATCATTATTAGGTTTAAGGGTTACTTTTGTACTTGTAGTATACTCAATTTACATTTTCGTTCATATGATTTTCTTATCGCATAAATTTAACCCTCGAAGTTGTTTAGGGGCATTATCCTAACCCTCGAAGTATGTTTTGACCAACATAACCGTTAGTCTTCTATGTTTATCGACGTTGATAATTTTCACATCAGCTAATATTACTGACGAAACATTTATTAAAAATAATAAAATATTTAAAATTTTACTAAACACAACAGTTAGAAAAATTCCTAGAAATTTGACATGATCCCTTAATCTTGCTGAAATGAATAATAAAATTTGATTTTTTTCTAATCATTTTTTTAGTAAATATTTTAACATAATCCCTTAATCCAAAGACGCAAAAGATTTACGGTTTTATTAGTCAAAACGATCAACAGACTTCGAGGATTAGGATTATGCCCCTAAATAACTTCAATGTCTAAATTGATGCAAGAAAACCTATAAAGACGAAAATGATAAATTAGGTCTACCACGGGGCAAAAGTAACCCTTAAACCTTATTATTATTATATTAGATCACACCATCATCTCTGTTAAATTTTAACAAAAACATAATAATCAATGGTCAAAATAAGAAGAAAAAAAACATTAACGATGATTTTGTCAAAAAAATATTTTACGGACCAAATAAAAGAATCGATAATAGTTTAATGTGCAATAGGGTAATTTACCCTAACTTAACTTTAGATAATTAAACACCCACCTATACCCAACAAAATTCCAGGAAAGGCCCCACAAATCAGGTCCCACACATGCCCTTAAAAAAGCATTATGGGACCCTCCAGCGTGGCAGGATGGGCCCACGTGTCTTAAGGAGTTTTTCATAAGAAAGATTAGGGCATTGATTTCCACCACCTTTTTCAATAAAGAGGATTAGGGTGATTTGCGAAAATACTATTTTACCCCCTTAATTAAGGGCGTTAATTACTACTTAATTAATGAGAGGGGTGCCCCTAAAATAATTTGGGTGGTGTTGATTATGTCACCCATGAGGTACACTGGAATATCATGACAGCTAGTCCATGTGCCAACATGTGAATAGTTTTCCTCCCTCCCAATTCCCATAAATATATAAATAAATAAAAATAAACTATAAATCTTAGTGAAATTTCCATTTGATTACATTTAATTTTCACCCTCCTAGATTAAATGATTTTTTAAGTTAATTATTAATATTTAATTTATTAATAAACTAATTTAAATGAAGTATTGTAAAAAATAATTATAAAATGATATTTTCAATTCAATTTACGTTATCGTTGTATCTTTAAAAGTAATTATCTCTCACCTATATGAGTAAACAAGTAAAATTTACAAAGATAAACTAAAATGTTTTAAAATTTAAGTTAAATTATGTGTTTAGTACTTAAATTATCAGTTTTAGTACGTTTCAATACCTAAACTTAAATTTAACAATTTTTCAAAACTATACCTAAATTTTAGTTTTTGTATCATTAGTACCCTTTAAAAACTTAACGTTAAATTTTGGGGGGAAATGAAATCTTAGGTACTAAAATGGACTAAAACTATTAGTTTGGGTACTAAATACATTAAGTTTTTAACGGAAGGGATACTAAAATGAAATAAAAACTAAACGTCAGATATGATTTTTTTTTAAATTGAAAGCCTAGGTAATAAAAGGAACCAAAATTGATCGTTTAAGCACTGAATGCATATTTTACCCAAAAAATTATAATTTATCAAAATGATATTTTAGCTCATATTTTTTTGAGTATTTTGACCATCAATATTTTATTTTGAGATAAAAAGGTTCATAATGTTAGATAAAATTGTCGCTTTGACCCTTATTCTTTTTTTCTAAAGCATTTTAGATTTCAGCTTTTTATTTTAAGGTAAAAAGACATTTATTTTAGAGTGGTAGTTATTTGTTAACTAATGATTTACATCTATAGAAAGATTTTTTGTCCTAAAATAAAATATTAATGGTCAAAATATTCTAAAAAATAAATATTAAAATAATCATTTAGATAAATGTTATGGTTTATTTAAAAATAATAAAAAGTATAAAACTTAAAAAAATAAACTATGCATTTGATTTTTTTTATGAGAAAGAATCTTATTCTTGACTACATTGATTGACATTTAGTTATTCTATACCTTGTGATTGTTCACAGATTTTGTTACATTATACTAATTTTTTAATATAATAATCTCTTTTATTTCAATTTTTATTAAAATTTAAAATTTAATTTTTAAAAAGCTATTTTAATTCCATCTTGATTAAAAATATATTTATTTTTTAATACACAATGTTAAAAATCAATCAAATTATAACACGTGTGACTTACTGAATTCAATATTTTGATTTATTAATATTTTATGCCGATTTAATTCAATAAAAATTGAAATTAAAATTTTAAAAAATGTCAAGTTTTCAAGAACTAAGCCAGACTTATATGATTGTAAGAGGTACTTTATATATATATATATAACATAAGTGGTCCAAAATTCAATTTTTATATTTTTATAATTGATTAATAATTTTATGTGGAGTATGATAAAAATTTATTTTCAACTCAATTCATTTTTATAATTTTTTTAATATTTAAATAATTAATTAATCTTATCTTACTGAATCAACTAATAATTCGTAAAATTCTATTTTTTTATATTTTCATTTGTAATCATTTTTTATTTATTTTTATGAAAACAAGAAAAAAAAGTTGGGGCAGCCAAGCAAAGCATAGACAAGAATTAAAGCAAGAAACTTTATTTATTTATTTATATATTTGTTTATTGATTTATTTAGGGCAAATTACGTATTTAGTATATAGGTTATCACTTTTGGTTCATTTTAGTATCCAAACTTTCAATTTTTTAAAATCATACATAATATTTATTTATTTTTTCATTTTAGTGCCGGTCATTAAAAATTAATGTATTTAGTACCTAAACTATCAAACTTGGTCCGTTCTACAACTTAGACTTTCACTTTTTTAAAAAAATTTAACGTTAAATTTTGAATGGAGTACTAAAATGAGACAAAAACTAAAGTTTTTAACAGCATGATACTAAAATGAAACAAAACTAAAATTTAGGTATAGTTTTAAAAAAAAAATTAAAAGTTTAATACTAAAACAGACTAAAACTGATAGTTTAAGTATGGAACTCGTAATTTACCATTCATTTATTATTTTATTTTGGTTGATAGTTTCTTAGGTGGCAACAAGGAACAATCCAAAGATAGAGACAGCTTTAAAGCTTTGCTTGTTATGTTGGCTATGTTGTTTCTTGTTTAATTCCATTATTAAACAATGAAAAACTAAAAAAAAAAAAGAAGCTAAATTTATTAGCATCATTTTTCTCTTCTTTTTCTTTCATCTTCCTTGTTTGGATCGGATCTGCCATAGCTTAAACACATTAACAAGGCAAACCCCAAAGCTGTTTCACTTTCCTCTTTAAAAAAACACCTCTTTTTCTTCTTTTCCTGGGTTTTCATGAAAGTTTTTGCTGTTTTATGATTCAAAGCTTTGGGTTCGCTTGGTGTTTGTTGAAATTCCTCAATGGAATCACTAGTGAATAGGAATCCTTCGTCAAAGAATCAAAAACCAGGTCCTTCAACGTCCCATTTAGCCGATCTCAACAATGGCGTTCGGATCATCCGACACCCGAATGGTTCCATAGGGTACCAAAAGCATTCTTCACAAGTGCAGAAGAATAATGAGCCAATGGTGAAGAACAACGAGGTTCTTGTTGCTGCTAACCAGATGAACTTGACAATGGAAACCAAAGATGATACCGTGTCTAAATCAGAATCAAGCTTTTGTCAAAGCCCTTCGACCAACATCTCCAATGGCAAACCGAGTTTCACCAACACTGAACTCAGTGAGAGCGGGAGCTGCAGCGGTGAAGTGAGTCGGAAAACAAGCGTTTACAGAGGGAGCACCGGGAGTGATTTCAGTGAAGAGAGCAGTTCAAGCTGTTTAAGCAGTGCCGTTTACAAGCCACACAAGGCCAATGATATCAGATGGGAAGCAATCCAAGCTGTGAGATCAAGGAAAGGGGATTTGGACTTTAAGCACTTTAGGGTGTTGAGGAGATTGGGATGTGGGGATATTGGTAGTGTTTATCTCTCTGAATTGACTGGAACCAGGACTTATTTCGCCATGAAAGTTATGGATAAAGCACTTTTGGCAAGTAGGAAGAAGCTTCTTAGAGCTCAGACTGAGAGGGAGATTCTTCAGTCATTGGATCATCCATTTTTGCCAACTTTGTATACTCACTTTGAGACTGAGAAGCTTTCTTGCTTGGTCATGGAGTTTTGCCCTGGTGGTGACTTGCATGCTCTCAGGCAAAGACAACCTGGAAAGTACTTCTCAGAACAAGCTGCAAGGTTTGCCATTGTTCTCTTCTTATCCTTTATTTCCCAAGTTTCCATGTTGGATTTCTAATTTAAATGTTGTATGCATTTAAAGGTGATCCATTTCATGTTAATCTAATTCGAGTGTGTATCGAATACAAGTATGTATCGAATTTGGAAGCTCCTTATAGAATCTTAAACCTATTCTCATGTCTGGATATGACAACGTGTTTATGGGAATAAGCTTGTCTCGTCGCCCGTTGACGATTCAGCCTTTGGTGGAGAATCGTGGTTGGTAAGTCTGTCGGTGTTTCTTTATGGAAGGAAACATTGAATGGGGAAGGAGGAAAAGGAAAAAGAAGTCTCTCCTCTCCCATAATTGAGGAGGATTTATAATGTTTCTGACTAATGAAGATAGATATAGAGTCATTATAGCTATTCATAAGCTGACAGGTTAAATAGATCTGATGGTCAAATCTTTCGATTTTGCACCTGCAGGTTGTCCTTGCCTGTCTGTAATTTTAAGAGTCTTGTTTGCACACTGCAACTGATTTGAGAGGTTGTTGATGACTTCTGATGGGAAAAAATATCTCGAATTGAATTAGGGTTTTAGTGCGTGTATCGGATACGAGTATGTATTGAATTTGGAAGATCCTTATAGGGATGTGCGTTTGGAATCCTATGTGTAAACACCCCTTTTGATAGTTGTTCAAGTTCTTAGATATTGATTATTGAACATTTATATCCCTCCTCACTCATGTTGTCAACAAGGTCTTCTCTGTGTCATTTGCGGATTTCCGGTCGATGTCTTGCAGTTCAAAATAACTTGTGTTCTTCGACATATCAGACGATAAATGAAACTCATTATCGATGTATCGCAGTGAAAGAAGATTAAAAAGCCAAGTAGTTTACTACTAACTGATATGTAATCTGCATTTATGTTTCATGTTTCTCTGCAGATTTTATGTGGCAGAGGTTCTCCTTGCTTTGGAGTATCTTCACATGCTTGGGATTATTTACAGAGACCTTAAGCCTGAGAATGTTTTGGTTAGAGAAGACGGTCACATAATGCTCTCGGATTTCGACCTCTCTCTTCGATGTGCCGTCTCCCCGACTCTCGTCAAATCTTCGAACTCGAACCAGGAATCGAAGAATTCAGCCTACTGTGCTCAGCCTGCATGCATTGAACCAACTTGTGTAATGCAGCCGGATTGCATCCAACCTGCATGTTTTGGACCCCGGTTTTTTTCGAGCAAGGCAAAGAAAGACAAGAAGAGCAAAGTAAAGAATGAGACAAACCATCAAGTGAGTCCTCTCCCTGAGCTCATTGCAGAGCCTACCAATGCTCGATCGATGTCGTTCGTCGGCACTCATGAGTACTTGGCACCTGAGATTATTAAAGGCGAAGGTCATGGAAGTGCTGTAGATTGGTGGACATTCGGGATCTTTTTATATGAACTCTTGTTTGGTAAAACGCCATTTAAGGGGTCTGGGAACCGAGCAACGCTCTTCAATGTTGTTGGCCAGCCATTGAGATTTCCAGAGTATCCTAACGTTAGCTTTGCTGCTAGGGACTTGATCCGAGGTTTACTCGTAAAGGAACCGCAGCATCGGCTCGCATATAGACGCGGTGCAACTGAAATTAAGCAACACCCGTTCTTTCAGAGCGTAAACTGGGCACTCATTCGTTGCGCGAATCCACCTGAAGTGCCTAAGCAAGCAATGATGGACTTTTCAGCCACCCGAACCGACGTCCCGAAGGTACCGACGAACAATAAGGTTCCCGGTTTAGACGTGAAGCCTTCAGGTAACTATTTAGAGATCGATTTCTTTTGATCATTGTGATAATGTTTCATTTCTCGGTTTTTATGGTTCTCCAATGGTACTCTTAAAGGTTTCATTCATGCAATGAAAGCTTAGTTCCATTGGTGGCACATGTTGTAAACTTATCTTTGAACTTGAAGCTCCATGAACAGCACTAAGAACTGCAAATGAATAGATTCGACGAATCTTTTGTGGTTTAAAAGATTTATTGCACTTGGAAGTTTCTTATGTTTCATTTAATTAAAATTTGGGTAACGCATTTAGTACTTAAATTATTAGTTTTGATCTGTTTTATTACCTAAACTTTTATTTTTTTCATCAAAATCATGCCTAACGTTTAGTTTTCATTTCATTTTAGTACCATGCCATTAAAAACTTAACGTGTTCAGTATCTAAACTACTAGTTTTGGTCCATTTTAATATATAAGCTTTCAATTTTTTTTTCAAAATTTAATGTTAAATTTTGAATGTGCTACTAAAATGAAATAAAAACCAAAGTTATTAACGGTGGATACTAAAATGAAACAAAAATTAAAATTTAGGTATGATTTTAAAAATTTTAAAAGTTTAAATATTAAAAAAAAACGAAGTTGATAATTTAGGTGTTAAATGTGTAGTTTACTCATAAAATTACTCTTCTGTTAAAAATAAAAGATAAATCTAAGAGCTGCGTTGGAGTGGAGTTCAATCTCTACTTTGGAGACTCTAGCGCTGCACCACTTACCATCTCCACTTTGGAGTGGATATGCAATTTACGCTACATTTGGTGTGCTACTGTAGCTGTACTACAATTTTTTTTGTTTTTTATAATTTTTATCTACGAAATGCATTAATTAAACATTTGTAGAATGAATATTTTAATTCGGAGAATTAAAATATATAATTATGTAACTTATGTTTTTCGCATTATTATTATGAATTGTAATTTTCTTATTTATTTGTATTTTCGTAATGTTTTTTATTAATGTTTTATTTATGCTTTTTATCTTGATATTTATTAGAAATATATATGTTTTATTTTATATTTGTAAAATCAATATTATAATAGTTAAATATTATGAATAAAGTAGAGTTAGTGGTAATGTAGAGATAGTGCTGAAGATGAATTACTATTTCATCTTTCAAGTAGAGATATATATATTGTAGAGTAGAGATGAGGGATGGAGATGGCCTAACAGGCTTAATATAATACTAATTCTACTCTCAGTTACTTGTATATTCATTTAAAAATGTTAAAAAATATATAAAAAGAGTTTGAATCCGAATGATATATTGAAAATAAGCGAAGTGATTAGTGGTTGTGATAGCGAATGGAGAGGATGAGGGTGAGAAGGGAGAATATGAAGACGACGACGATGACGATAAAGAAATAAAGAGGGAGATGAAAAAAAGATGACGACGACGAGAGGAGGGGGAAGGCGAACGAGGTACGAGCATAGATGAAATGTTGGTAGAAAAGTAGAGAGGGTGAAGAAATGATGATGAACAGTAAAAAAACAAACAATTTGAGATAAGAACGATGATTAAATTGATATAAATTTTAAATGTTAGTGATTAAATTTATTGAATTATTTTGAAATAAGATTTCAATTAATAAAATATATAAGTTTTGAAGACATTATTATTATTGTACGAGTTAATTTTACTATACGCCCTCAAACTATGATCTTTATTTTAAATTAGTTCCTAAATTTTTTTAACATTTTAATTTCATCCTTGAATTATGACTCTCTTTCTAAATTAGTTCATAAAATTTTAAACGCTATGAATCCATCCTCAAAATGTGGCCCTCATTTTATATTGATCTTCAAACTTTTTAATGATTAAGGGAAAAATTATTGGAATGTTCAAAAGTTTTGGACTAATTTAGAATGAGAGTCATAGTTTAGGGATGAATTTAGAATTTTCATAGACCAATTTAGAATGACAATTATAGTTTGAGGATGAATTTAGAATATTTAAAATTTTAAGGACTAATTTAAAATGAGGGTCATAGTTTAAGAACACACAATGCAATTAACTTTTAATATTAGATGACTTATTTATAATCTGATTAATAATTAAGGGATTTGAGATATATTTTATCCTTTATATTAATTTTAAAATTTTATTATTAGTGTATAAATTATAAAAAATTAAAAAATAGTGTTATATAAAGTTTATATAAAAATTATCTGCCAATTTACGTAACTTAGCTTTCAAAAAATTAATTAAAAATGTTGATTTCCCTCTTAAATGGACAATTGACCACTTTTGCTCCATGATTAACATTTCGTGGCCAAGTTACGGTCTGTCACGAAAGAACATTCTGAACGTCCAACCAAAAACGTCCACGTCAGTAAATTTTAAAAACGTGACGAAACTAATAGAATTTTCACAACCCCACGCTCGCTTCAGCAGCACGCGCTGAGCTGCCTACGTGGGACCTCATTATTGGGTCCCACCTAACATGGCGTCGATAGATATTTTTCGGTGCTCCTATACATACTATTTCCCCGCGGGTGTCTTTCAGCCGCCTACGTGTTTCTCCTCCTCCTCCTTCTTCTTCTTCTTCAATGGCGGATTCTAGCTACCTCTCCACTGTTTCCGCCGAAGATGCGGCGAGTTTCGGGTTTACGCGCGATGAGATGTACACCGTTAACCTCGCCGGCACCGTCAATCCGTACGACCGCCACTTGTTCCTCCGCCACAAGTCGTATACCGATTGGGCTTCCCGTGTCGAAGAGGACGGCCTCCCTAATCTTCTCTCCTCCGCTCTAAAGTCTCGCAAAAACGACATCCCCGTCAAGGTGAGTTCTTGCCGTTTCGGTCAACTGCCGTTTGCTTTTGAGGTTTCGAATTTTCAATTAATCGTAGCTCTTTTTTCTTTTTCTTTTTCAATATAGACATTGTTGACAGTTATTGACGGATCGGAATCTGACGGCGATGTGCTGATTTTCCCTGAAATGATCAAATACAAGTGAGCTTTCCTTTTTCTTCTTCGATCTAATTTCACTCTCAATTTTGTTAAATTTCATTTTACATGATCTGTTGATGCAAACTAAAATGGATTTGAACCTTGCATTTTGTAACTTATCGATAGGGTTGTAAGTAAGTCAAATCGAGCTTGAGTCTCGATTTGAAAACTGTAGAATGAAACTCACTCGGCTTGAAAACTGCGAGATTTTCAAGTTTGAAATGAAAAAAAAATTGAACTTAATTAGATTGAAAATCAAACTCGAACCTGAACTTTAATTATATAAAAATCATGCAATATATTTTTTTTCAAAAATCAACACATAAATGTTAAAAATATTAATACTTTATTTTAAAAAAAATAATATATTATATTTTCGAGTTGTTTGCGAACTTTTTAAGTCAAATATTAAATAACTCGTTTCTACTCGTTAATAACTCAAGTCGAACTTAGACTGGAGTTGAGTCCATTCGAGTAGTTAATCTTGAATACCTCATAATTTATCTCGTATCATTTACAACCATACTTATCAAGTATAAATCTGATTTTTTTTCCTCATATGTCGACTGTCCATTAAATATATGCTTTATATATATATATATATATATACACACACATATAGAATTACTTGTTTAAAACATATTGAGGTCTGTAAATAGAGAGGTGTTTGAGCGCGGTCATTCACAAATAATTTAGAAATTTTAGAATAACATAATCTTATAATCATTTTAATTTATTCTAATCACTTCAATTTAATAAAAAGAAAAAGAAAGAGAAAACATTTTTCATGTATTCATCCAACTTAAGTCGGGAAATTTCATGTTTGTTATGATTAATACTTGGTTTAGTGGCTGATTGTGGAGTTAAATGTAATCAGATGCAGAATTTTGAACTTAGGAAGTTATATTATAAAGGGTAAAGTATATAAATGATTCCTCGATTATAGAAAACTGCTTTATTAAGTACCTTGATTATTAAAAATTATAAAATGATCACCTGATTATTTATTATGTTTTAAACTCATCTTTTTTCGTTAAAAAATTAGAGGTTGTCTAAGCTGAAATGGTTGAGATATGATAGTCGGTATGTTAATGTTCAGCTCAGAATACGGTCAATTTTTTAACAAAAAAGAACGAATTTAGAACATAATGAATAGTCCGGTGTCCATTTCATAACACTTAATAGTCAAAAGAAATAACTAAATTATGTAGAAATTTGAAATTTCTAGGAGCACGACCGCACCCGAACGCCCATAGGCCCATCCTTGATTTTAATCACCCTTCTGTCCGTTTTATTTGTTGGGTTGAGATTGCAATTTCTTTTCTTTTGTTTGAAAATTGATGAGAGAATGCTAAGATTAGGAGTGATGGGATTTTGTGCTGAGGCTCTTTTATTATATTGATGGAAGGGGCTTGACTGACTCCGATGTGGATGGCTTTGTTGAGGATGTGCTTGTCAATGGCAAGGCATGGACTTCTGGAGCGCAGGAGACGTTTTCCGGTTCGTATATCTTTGTGTGTGCTCATGGTAACCGTGACAAGAGATGCGGTGTTTGTGGTCCGGCTCTAATTCAAAAGCTGAACGAAGAGATTGAGTTGCGAGGACTGAAGGATCAGGTGTTTGTAAGTGCTTGCTCTCACATTGGAGGGCACAAGTATGCTGGGAACTTGATTATCTTCAGCCCTGATTCCGAGGGAAAGATTACAGGAAACTGGTAATACCGCAATACCGGCATTACCGTGTTATTATGCTCCTATGCCGTCTAATGGATTTTCAGATTATCTGTTCTTTTTCCTCATATGGTTGCAGGTACGGCTATGTTACTCCTGATGATGTACCTGAGTTACTTGAGCAGCAAATTGCAAAGGGAGAAATAATAGAACGCCTTTGGAGGTTTGTGTTTTGTGATCTATGCTGTGCTCAAGTTGGTCGAATTTGTCACTACGTACTTAAAATGCAGAGCATCGGAATCTATTCGGTATTCGCCGGAAGAGTTTATCGGTTATCGTTACTGCTGTTGTCATTGATTGTCTTAACTTGCTCACATGAAAATTTTCCTTTTTGACTTTGTGCTTTGCTAGTAGGAAGCCCCATGTCTACTGTGTGACGCATTGCATATTCCCTATTAAGCTTTCTG